AGCTGGCGAGCAGGAGGGCTGATGGCTGCGCTGGCGGCAGGGGGTGGGTGTCTCGTTTGCAGCACAGTGAGCAGCTGATGGCTCCTCCGCTCCCCACTCAGGTGCTGATCCTGAGCCCAGCTTTCCTCAAGTACATCCATGACAACTGGATGCAGCACCATGGGCGGTACCCCTCCACTGGCTTCACGGCACTACTCTTTGCCTTGCACACTTGCCAGCAGGTGAGCGTGGCCAGCAGGACTGGGCACTGCCACCATGCCACTACTGCACTGCTTCTCTTGCCAACTGGGCATCCACGCAAGCGATGCCTCTTGCTGGTGTGTGCGCAGGTCTCTGTGTTTGGCTTCGGTGCAGACAGCGAAGGGAACTGGCACCACTACTGGGAGAAAAACCGCTGGTCTGGAGCCTTTCGCAGGACGAGGGTCCATGATGCTGACACAGAATTCAGCCTTATCAAGAGACTGGCAGCTGAAGGCAAGATTTTATTCTACAAATAATGCACTTTCAAGAAACTGAAGCCAGGCCATTATCACAGGAGCTGGCAGCCCCCTGCACTGCCAGCAATGGCCCCTGCTCTTTAGCTTGCTTCTCCCCTGCAGTGCTGCCGTGTGCCCGAGCTCGCAGAGACTGCGATCCCTGGGGTCTGTCTCAGTGCTCATTGTGCCAGTCCCACCAGCTTGGCACTGTGGGTGCCAGGAGGTGACACACTCCCATGGCACCAGGGATGTTGCATTTGGCTGGATGCAGTGTGGGTATGGCTCTACCCATGCTTGGTGGGAGAGAGGAAGGGGAGATGGGGGGGGCTGGAGGTGAGTGTGGAGTCCATGAGCTGCTGTTTGTGTCCCTCCAGTGGCCTCAAAGCCTTTGGGTGACAGCAGCCACTCCAATGTGGCTGTCCACATGACGGAGCTGACATCAGCCATACTGATGGCTTTTGGGGGAGGTTCAGAGTTGTTCTTTGGGCAGGGGGAGAGGAAAGTCTTCTCTTCCTGTCTTTTTATAAAGAAATATTTTTAAAATTGTATCGAAGAGTAAGAAAGGAAAAAGTCAAGCACACTGAGTCAGAAGATGACAGTTATCAAGTACAGTTGAAATTATATTATGCTGAATAAACTTTGAAAACACATGTGAATCTACAATTAACATTTGCTTTACTTTTTGAGCCCTTTGCTTTGAAAAGACAGCACAATCTTTCTCAGCCCCACCCTGCAGAACAAGACTGCAGAGACTGGAGACTGAGCTCCCAGAAGGAGGTTTTCTCCGCCTGTCATGGTTTAACCTCAGCCAGCAGTTGAGCACCGCACAGCCACTTGGTCATCCCCTTCCTCGCAGTGGGATGGGGGAGAGAATCGGAAAAGTGAGAAAACTCGTGGGTTGAGGTAAAGACAGTTTAATAGGTAAAGCAGAAGCTGCACACATATGCAAAGCAAAACAAGGAATTAATTCACTCCTTCCCATCACAGGCAGGTGTTCAGCCATCCCCAGGACAGCAGGGCTCCATCACACAGAACAGTGACTTGGGAAGGCAAACGCCATCACTCTGAATGTCCCCCCCCTCCTTCCTTTTTCTTCCTCCAGATTTACATGCCGAGCATGATGCCATACAGTGTGGAATATCCCTTTGGTCGGGGGGGTCTGCTGTCCTGGCTGTGTCCCCTCCCAGCTCCTTGTGCCCCCCCAGCCTGCTTGCTGGTGGGGTGAGGAGCAGCAAAGGCCTCGATGCTGTGTGAGCACGGCTCAGCAGTAACTAAAACATCCCCGTGTTATCAGCACTGTTTTCAGCACAAATCCAAACCACAGCCCCAGAGGAGCTGCTGTGAAAAGAATTAACTCTGTCCCAGACAAAACCAGCACACTTCAGAGCAGGATTAGCAGGATGTGTTTTCTCACTTTCAATCATAACACGAACATCCTTGAATCAGACTCAAGCTTTTCCATGGCTGTTAGACACCCGACCTCTCCTACTCATAAGCTCGCATTTTAGAGCGGAAGCCTGTATTACATAACTACTAGCTTAATTGTTTTTCTCCCTCTCCAGGTAGGATCTCCATTTCTGTATGTGTCTTCCCTTTCTCTTCTCCATTATATCTAGTTTCCCACACCGAGTACAAGTGTCGCACTTACCTGCCCGTCCACTTTGCTTCTGTTTTCTCTAGGTGCTAACCAGTGCTCTGCGTAATGCTCTCCCATGCTTTTCTGAGGTTTACAAGTAATTGGCTTTCTTACCAAAGCCAAGCGATTAGCTGGTAATTGTGTCTTAAACTCTTGCTGCATTATTTCTATTCATCTTCCCCTTCTGCTTATTCTTTCAAATTTAGTTACAAAACTATGTGGCTCTGTTGAGCGATTAAAGATGCTCAGGTCACTTTTTGTTTCTGATAAAACATACAGATACTCTGTTTCCTTCCTCACATTGTAGTAGTATGGTATGATCCTGACCCGATAACAATAACTTTGTTTCAAATCAACGTTTTCTGGTATTCTAGCTTGGAGATTAATCAGTCTCCTTACCCACACCTCAAATCGCTTCTCTCCCTGATTGAAAAAACACGGTTTTTTATAACCCCTGGTTTGTAGATAAGTTTAACTCATTAAAAAAACCCCCACAAACAATAACTACTTTCAAATGAATTACAAAATAGCTTTCTCTCTGCCTTACCTGATCCTGTGCCTGTCACACTTGCTGTGCACTGCTGGACCAATTGCTTGGACCACGTTCAGAGTCAATACCAACACAAATCCAGGACTGAGATTTAAGTGAGCCTTTTTTTTGCCTCAAAATGAGGCAGAAATCCACAATATTTTATTTTTCCTAGTTATTTTCAAATTTCTGGCAATATAATTTCACATACCAAGCACTCTACTCATTGTGTAGTTCATTAAAAAGAAAAAAACCCCATCATCATCATCATGATATCTACATACTTTACTACAATGCAGTTGTGTTTTTTAATTATAATTTCCAATTCAGTACCAGGATTAGAATCATAGAATCATAAAGGTTAGAAAAGACCTCAAGGATCACCAAGTCCAACCTTCAACCCCACACCACCTAACCCAGTAAACCATGTCCCTAAGCACCACATCTAGTTCAAATAATTCAATTAGTCTTCCAAATGCTTTACCAAAACACCCAGAGGATGGACTTTATCTTAAAATATAAACAGAGAAGAAGTGAAAAACACAATCCAATTTAAAAGTCTGTAAAACTCCAAACATTTTTTTTGCTGAAACATCAACTTGCATCTTTCATAAGAAGAGCAATCTGGAGCAACTGCAATGCCCCACCGTACAGTAAGGACATCCCAAGTACTCGGTCTCACCATGTTGCCCCAGACAGTTGGAAGGAAAGCACATGGGATTCAGCACATTTTTCACAGAGGTCTGGCATACAGCATCAGCACACTGAGAAACATTTTTAAGAAATATTAAAAAAGCTAGATGGTGTTGCTAGAAATCTTATTTGATGGCAACTTCAATCCACTCTAGGTCTCATGACAATAGTGTTATCCCTGAAGGCAAAAAGAATGCCATATCTCCAGCATCTATTACAAGGAGGGGAGGGCAGAACTGGATGAATAGGGACTGACACAAAAGGGTTTTACAGTAGGGTCTGCACAGCCAGACAAGATGGCTAATCTTTATAGCAGCAAGGTGTAAGCAGTTCCATCCACAAATTAATGCCAAAGAATGATGGGACAGTAACATAAGAACAGTCGGGACCATCTGGTAATTCCAAACCTCTTCTCTTGTGCACTCAGAAGATCACTTGTGTTTCAGAAAAACTGTTGAGCTTGCCTTAGAGGGTTGTTTTTTTCTTTTTTTTTTTTTTTGTGGGGTGAGGTCGTTGCTTATTTATGTTGTCTTCCCAAGTTCAATTTTCTTCTGGATGGCACGTGCTGAGTGATAGATCAAGGAGTCAATGAATCCTGCAACTAAAAGGAAAAAACAGATGGATCAAGCCAGACATGCCTCAAAGAGAGAACAATTTTTGAAAGAGAACACAAACCCTTCTGTCAGTGGAAAGGAATTCCAGCTCCCCCAGAGAGAAAACAGCTTCTCCTGCTCAGAATAAGGTCTTCATCTGCTTAGGACAGACAAGGTCCAGCTTGCAGGACAGAGGTGATCATGCTTCTCCAGAAAAAGATATGTCTTACAGAAGTAAAAATGAGACAGGCTGAGTCATGTTTGTTTACTGTTGAGTGAGAAGAGTTTGGAAAGGAAGCTGATACAGTGAGCTTTAGGCCATGTCATTGCCCTGACCCAGTTTGCCAAGGGCCTGTTTCCCATTTCTTGCTCATTTCACAGTAACCTTAAAAGTAAGCTGCTCTACCCCATGTTGCCTTGATGGATGCCCTTTATGGGACACTGCAAAGGACACAAAGCAAAACAAATCCATGCCTTTAGTTCTTTCTGCAGTATTTTCCCCAAATCTCTCCAGCACTGAAGGAACCTGTTCATTCAGTGCTTGTTTGGGACCACAGAGAAGTTCAGAATAGATCTACTGCATCACAAAACCCAGACAACCCTGCATCCATCCATGTGGCTTTCACAGGACAGGAACCCTGAGCTCCTGCCAGGGAGAGAACACAGGGTGCCACTAAGCAAAGGTATTTTCAAAGCCTTTATGAAGCTTCAAGTGCTTTTTTGCTTTTATTCAACACCTCAATCTAAGCAATAAGTAAGTGATTACTTGGCCCTACCCAAAGACAGACATTTCAATACTATGTAAAGAGTAGCAGCTAAAACAGGAACTGAGCCTGCTGTTTATTATTGTAGAATACAGAATTATTTGCCTTACTATCTGGTCTTTGAGTAATGCTTCAGAGGACTGTCTCTTGTGGTTGTTTTGCCCTGAAATTTTCTCTACTTGTGGAATCAGTTTGATGCTGTAACACAAAAACTGTTACACAGCTGACCTGTCCTCTAGAACACAGAGTCTGAACCTGGCATATGGCAGCAAACACTATGACCTGGCTGACAAACCTAATCACTGCTAGAGGACACTTGCGTTTGTCATTAAAATAATTTTTGAAAGCCCTTCCCTGAGTCAACCATAGAAAGAATATGAACAAATTTATTACAGAGAGAAATCCTGTTTAACAGTATCAGGTTAATTGAGCATTGTGACACCTCAGGTGACAGGAAACCTTGCAGGTGAAGGTATTATGTGATATAGGTAAGCTATACAGGTGTGAGGTGATACAGTAGCCGGCTTCTCAGGTCCAATGAGATCTGCTGACTAGACCTTCTGACTGGCCCTTCACAGCCACGTGAACATCCCTGAGTGTGTTTCAGAGCACCCTGGGTTGTTAGCTGAAGTGCAAGGCTGGACCAAGGCTGCTCTCTGTATGGAGCTGAGCAGATATATTGATTCGCTATTCCAGAAGCCAGCACTGAGAATGAAGTCTAGACACTCCAATGGCTCTGCAGGAACAGCCGCTCCTTACAGGACCCCCCCTAGCTGTAGGCATTACTTTAAATCCCTGCAGAGCACTCACTGGAGCTCCTATGTCTGGGAACACAGTTTGAGACCTCTGAGATGACAATGCCCACGGTGACCTGGGCATTTACAGATTTTACTGGCTTTGGTTGTATCTGCTTACAGACCCAAGCTGGCCAAAGAAACAGTATAGATCTATTCATATGGTATGTGAAAGATCACATTATTTGAAAACAAATGTCCTGTAGAGCTTCAAAATGAAATATGATAATAGGTATACATCATAATGAAATTAAATATTTCATCAAATGAAATGTAACAGGTCCACAACATCTACAGCATCTTGAAAGTCTGCAGTGCTAATTACAGTCTGATTCCACTCCTATGGCTCTGCAGAACATGCTATATACCCTCCTCAAGGCTGAAATAATTTCTCCTCATCAAAGAGGGATTTATTACTAGCCATGCAGACTTTAGAAAGAGTAAGATGGTGAATGTTCACACTTTAGAAAGAAAAAAGACTGAAAGGCATAATACCTGTAAATATGCCTCCAACGATGGCACAAACTCCTGTGAGAAAGTGTGTAAAGGACCTAGAATGAGGAAAGCCATTTGAAAAATCAGCATGAGCTGATACCAATAAGTCAGATAAGTAACAATTAACCTATAAAAACTAATTAATAATTATAATAATTTTAATCATAGCACATAAGTATGCATGATATAAATATTCATAGCTGGCAATGAACAGATTTAACAAATAACCCCTATTGGCTACAGAATGGAGTTTGTGATACTTTCACAGTGCATTACAGCAGTGCACTCTAATGAGCTCAATGGCAACCCTAGGAGGCAAGTACTGAATTTATAAACCTAAAGGGTGGACTTTTAATCCCTAAGATTTTATTCATTCCTACTCAGATAGAATGCACAACAGGCTGCTATAACACAAAACCAAAATCCCTAAGCACCTGTTAATACATTTTAAGGTATAGACATTGTCCGTCCCTCACTATGACCCTAAAAAGACCAGACAACCACAAACCCTTCCAACCCCCCTGCAATTAACATGCCTGTGATTAACAGAAGACCCAGAAAGAAGAGTTTCCACACTGACTACAACACGCAGCTATAGCAAATGCAGAGTAAGTAACCAGGCTGGATCAGTGTGGATGCTGCTGTGGGTGTTGGCAAGATACATAAATCTAGTTTTCCCATTAAAAAAGTCTTTGAGGAAATTAGTCTGAACCAAGAACCATTATGCCAGACGTCTGCTCACTGCACCAATTTCCTTCTCCATCCTGATACTGGATTAAAATGCTTCAGGTAATATCAGAAAAAACCCAATCCCTTTCATATGTTCACACAGAGAGGAAGGGCATCTGGGAGTGCCTCTTCCTCTCCACTGACTGGGAACGGGCTTGGATGGTTTTCAGGCATTTGCACTGTTGTGTCAAAGCGAGGAGGGTGTTCTAAGCTATGCAAAATGACAAAATCAATGGAGGGTAAAAGCAATAGATTGAAATGTCTCTTACCTGTGTTTCTCTGTCAGCTTCACCATCATGGGCGAAAGTTCGTATAACACAAATACACCAGGCAGACCCTGGTCTCCTAGTAGCCCATTGGCTATCTTCTCATGTCGTGTAACTGAGAACTGGTTAGTCCTTACTATCTAGCAGGAAACAAACACAGCAAATGTCATTTTGTTAATGACAAATAGAAATAGGCTAACAAACTTAAAAGGCTACTAAAACACGAGTTCAGTGAACCACATCAATGTAGCCCTGCCCAGTCACCGTGTGGGGGGCCTGACAGTGGTTACAGAAGGTCATAAAGAGCACCATCAAGATCAGGTCTATTTTTACTACAGGCTATCAGTTAAAGCCCCAGCTAGCCAAAAGAATGAGTGATGCATCAGTCCCCAGGCTGGATTGTTTTGGTCTCTGCTGGCAAGTAATGGCATAAGCTGTCCCTCTCGACCTCAACTCCAAGTCCACGTCACCCTCTACCAAAATGTAGTCCACCTAAGCATGCTTCAAGAGACAGCACCTATGTGAGAAAACCATATATATTCAAGAGTGAGAAAAAATGAAAGAATACATAAAGGCAGGAGAGTTCCAGGGCTGCAGAAGGACATGGATTGCCCATCCTTATATAAATGAAGATGACCCTGCAGCATTCTTCTGTGCCCCGCCAGTCTTCTACACAGTTTGTACCAGTCCTATTCTTAGAGCAAATAAATTGTGTTTCTGTAAAATTAAATTATGTTCTATCATCCCTAATAAGATATCTAACACAAATTATAATCCAAGCTGAGAAAGACACCCTTTACCAAATTTCATATTTGGGGGTACCAAGTATGAATGTAAAACACAGCCTCTGGTATACATCTGCCAGAAGACTTGGATCCGTAGTTACTGTAAATATAGGCATCATAGTCTGCATGGATTCCTCTTCCAATTCCTTTGACAAGAGAAGTCCTTTAAAAACTGAACAACAGCTGTACAGTAGAATGTGACATTTCATCAAGAGAAACATAAGCCACACTTCAGGAATTTCAATCATCCACAGAAACTGCAGAGGCATCCTGAATCCAAGTAGAATGAGCTTCAAACACAGTCTTGAAGGTTTTCCCAGTAATGACTCTTAGCAAGTAACTTCCACCCAACTTCTAGGAAAGAACAGATGGGTCCTTTCTAGGCAGGGGATTGAAGAAAGAGTGGTCCACATATGGATTTATCACATGAGAACTGAGTCTTGCAAAGAGTTTAAATCTTCAGGATAGATGAACAAATACTATGTCTACTTTTCCAATGGATTCCATTAAGTTGCTCTGCCCACACTGCTCTAGGATAGCTTTGCTTGAACATCTGCATTGTACCTACTGTAGCCATGTGGCTCCTCAGATTTCTGGTTCCTACACAGCCTCTGATATAATTAATAATCTGCTGGTGATTTACATTTCAGAGTGCCTAAAGCAACATGAAGATTGTGTGGATGTGCAGTAGTATGTTGTTCTGATTGCAAGGATGTGTGGCACATGCCCAAGAGTGGCACGAATTTGGGTAAGGAGCCTGAGGTAGTAATAGTTCCCAGTGTTGTGGGGTTTGCACAGCGTTATACAATTGTGTAGGACAAGGGAGTCAACTTCTGGTGTAGTTTCATCCACATGTAGATCAGTCTTTGCACTGAACGAGTCCCAGAACCACCCTTGCATGTCACCTCAGAGGAAACTGGTTTGGTGCTAAAGCGAAGCTGGGCAAGGACCACCTAGTAGCATTGAAGATACAGATCCAAAAATCTGTGAGACAGCTAGGGAGCTAAGACACCGTGTACGTGAATGTTCACAGAGGTGCTGGGGCATGTGGCACCTGTCTCTTCCTCACAGGGTTAGGTAAATTCTCTGGGTAGCACTGGTGGTAAAGTCTGCACAACAGGAGAGCTGCTGCCTCTACTGGTGTTTTCTTTGCAAAAGAAACATAACAGTTTACATCATTCTTCTGCCCAAATAAGGATAACTGACAGGTTTTTTGTTTTTTTTTTTTTTTTAAAAAGAGGTTCTCCTTAGCTTTTCAGATCCCCTGTACAATGACGGCAACCAAAACAAACACTTCCAAGTGAATGAAAGAAATCACAGGTCTTTCTGCTCTCTCAGACTGGCTTCAGAAGAGAGCATAAGTTTGTCTCTGTTCTCAGGATCTTTGTCTCACCCTGCTATCTCCTCGGCAATTTGTTTATCCCACCTGTTGCAAGCGAAGGATGTATTCTGAAAGCAGGGCTGAAAATCTAGCCACAATCTTTTGCAGGCTAAAGCAGTTTTTAAACTGGAGAGAAGCTGATCTTGGGTTATTCTCCAAAGAACATTTTTAGGATCTCCTTGCTGCTTTGACTTCTCGTAAGCATGCACTGTGAGGATTCATGAAGGAACATGATGAAAATAGCTTGGTCGCTTTGGTCTAGGTGGGATGGAAGAGGCTGAAATCTGCGTCATCACTGCTGCAACATTACAGATAACATTACACCACAGAAGTTGTTATTCTTGCTGGGGTGTAGATATGAAGAAAGTCGAATAGATGGTGTTGCTTCCACCAGAGGTCAGATATGACCTCTTCAGCATGAGAATATGAGGATAAATTAATCTGAAGGCTTTCACTCGCCAAAGCAATAGGGAAAAGGTACTTACTTCACCATCTACTTTCATATACACCGTGGGGACCACTTTGACAAAATACTGAAACATCATGGAAGCTATAAGCAAAGACAGAGAGACACAATTAATAACTGGTGAAGAGCTGGACAGCTTAACTGACAGGTTAGGTAGACACAAACTGGTTTTGTGCAACTTGTCAGGGAACACCTTTCTGCACAACAGCTACTGAAGGTTTTCAAGGACGGTAAAGTTAATGTCTGACATGAGTTTTCCTTTTGCCAAAGTGAATCTTGTTCCTGTTCCAACCAAAACCACAACTACCAGCATTTTGGCTTTGGTTAAATGGAAAATTTTCTACAAACCAGTTCTCTTGCTATAGTTTTACCAGTACAACTTCTTGAAAATTCTTATTCTAGCACATGAAAACCTTATATTTAACAGCATAGCCCTAACAAAACATATTCAACTCTAAATTAATATCCTCCATCAACTTAAATTAATACTACAGTTTATCCCTGTAGAAGCATGATTTTTATCATATCAGGAGAGGAAAAGGAATATCTGGATCAGTGAAGAAAAAAAAAATAGGAGGAGAACTCCTTCTGTTGCCTCAGACCAGGCTCTTCCTTCAGTTCTATTACACATAATGGAAGGCAGGACTCACTTTGAAAATCTATTTCATCAAAAATGCACACAAGCAGGCGTGTGTGAATGAACCAAGATTATAGTTTGAGCAGCAGTAGCATGAGAAGTGCCCTTCCTTCTGAAGACAGCAAACAGGAGCTATCTAGAAAAGATAAGCAATATTTCAACTTCACTGCAGCTGTTCAGCTGTTACTGTTGGGTAGATCAAGGTCAGGCAGACAGCAGGGCTCTCCAGCAGTTAGGCCTTTTTTCTCTATCCTGCATCTTCTGGTTATTTCCTACTGCACACAGTAGCTAGACAGGGCTCTCCCTGACCAACACCTGATGCAGGCGTTTAATAAAGATGAGCTGAACGTGCTGTTGTGCATCCATGAACATCTGAAAGAGAGACACTTCCAGAAAGGTCACAGAATCAAAACACTTTGGCAGGTTTGTTCCAGATGAATGGAGGCAGCTGTTCCAGAAAGAAGAGAAGGTGAAGGAGTCCACATTTTACACAGTGTTGTCAGGGTTCTTGTTAAAGACTGGGAACTTTGCTCCTGTTCTTTCCTAGCACTAATACAGACACTTAAAAAGAGATTTCTCTCAGCTGGCTTTTACCTTGCTGTGCAGTGACGTCCGTCCCATCCAGAGGATTCACAATGCCTGGATAATCCCTTCCAAATGAGAGATGTTTGATATAGTGCGTCATATTTATCTGAAATGGAAATGCTAATAACTCAAACAACTGCACAGCATCCAAGGGGTAAGGTAAGAGGCCTAAAGCTAATTATTTGTATATTTTTCTGAGTGTGGCTCTGGAACAGAGACAGGTCCTCCCTTACTCTGCATGTCCTAACAGTAAACTCCAAAGGACTTGGTCTTCTTTTTTATTCATGGGAGATTCCAAGATATGGAATTTCTCCTTTTCCTGCTGGAAATCACCAGATCCCAGTGCCCTTCCTTCCCCTCTACAAAGCGGGCTCTCCCACCCACTCCTGTCCCTGCCAAAGAAGCACCATGGTGTCAGCTGCCTCAGTGGCATAGGTATGGGTATCATCTGATTTCCTTCCAGCACAATGTAAACTCCCAACAGATCCAGAAGCAGTTGTGAAAATGTCAACCTTAGAAAACTGGGAAGCACAGATTAAGGAGCAAGGCAGTCTCAGGAAGAGGGGAACACACTTGCCAACCAACATGCAGATGTCCCAGAAGATACTTCAGAGCCCTGTGTGAAAGCAGGTCCCAAGTTCCGCTCAGACTAAAAAAACCAAATCTGGCTGGCATTAGGACACTAGGATCTCAATGCAGCAAAGGGAGGGAAATTCAGAAGGAAAACAGACCAAGAGAACTAGAACACTATCTTGGGAACACTTACGTTATCAAGTCCAAAGCTCTGCAGATCGTGAACTGTAACAGAAAAACAGTTTAACAATATAGTTCAGACTGGGATAACAAGCATATCTATTTACCTTATTCTAGCTTATAAGGGAGCTCCTCTCATTTCCATGATCTAAAATGGCAAGAAAATTGCCTGGGGTTCTCTCTTGCTTGCAGTAGGTCATGTGATAGATAAAGCTGCTGCAATTCCCCTCCTGAGACAGACTAGCCTAGAGAAGGAAGGTAGCCTTAATTTGGGGTTACTTCTGATGTCCTCACCTGAATGTATTCTTATCTAGGGCAAAAATAAGATCCCAGGGGCAAGCACAGAAAACTTCACTGTTATCTCAGTCATCACCCAATACCTGTAACTCCTCTAACTACTGTAAAACACAAAGGCATAACAGATCTACACTAACAGCTGAGCAGAGCATGTGCCTTAATATCACATGCAAGTGCCCTAAAAAATCATCATCATCTTAGCAACTCTCAGCACTCTGCCTATCATCAGCCTTGTTACTGCTGCCCAGAGAACACACAGGGAAAGGAAAGTCTTTGAGGGGAGGGCCTGAGCAGGGTATTTTCAAACCACTTGGTGCGGCCAAGGTGACCATCAGGAGTGCTAGAATTTGGGGAATTTGGCCTGCCCTCTCTCTGCCCTTCCTGCATACAGCAGTATGATGATGCCAGCAGCACCACACGCTCCCAGAAGGGATCTGGCAACGATACAAGCAATGGGAGGCAATGGATATCTTTTGGTTGACTACTGAAATGACTTTATGCAATGCCAGAAGCATCAGTCTAAGGATGAAAAATATAACTTACAACTTGATTTCAGTAGCCCTCCCACCAGGTTTATCCAAAGTCACACAATCATCTTAAAGTAGTCAGAGGCTGTGGTGCATTTTAACAGGTACGTTCACGTGTTCAAAAAGCCAGACCTCACTTTTCACCTTAGCAAAGACAAACAAACTTCAAAAATTGTGGGCTATTTATTATTTTAGGAGCTGATGGAGTCAGAACACCAAGTGCTGCTACATTATTAACAAAGATTAGGAATGCTCCTCTCTTGAAGGGTTTCTGATATACAACCTAGCATAAGACAGGCTGCAAAGCTAAAGAAATGACCAAAACTAGCCTCTCCTTTCAGTAATTTATTTAACATAAGTGTGCTGTGAACTCATTTTTTTTTCCATTACATTTCTTTACTACAACACCAGAAGCTGTAATTGTATTTATATAAAACCCTGACTAAACCCAAAGAGATACACATGCAAAACAGAGTTAGAAAAGGAAACGCTAAATCTAAACTATTCTCTTAACACTCTGATCTAGGGAGAGGCCCTTGTGTTTCACAGTTAAAATGTTCAATGCTCAGAAACTAAGGCTGCAGTCATTGGAACTAAGGCAACGGTTCTGTATCACAAAGAGCTCAGAGCTGCACTGGGTTCAAATATTCCTGTTGCTGTCTCTGACAAGTGTGCAGACCTATCACTGCCACTAGCACAGTGGTTTGTGTGCCTGTGCTGGCAATGGGATCGAAGAACTCATTTGGCTTTAAAGGAGAAATTCCTACTAACAATTTGGAAACAGATGTTAAATGGTAAAGAAAGGAAGAGGTGGCCTTGGGATTATGCTACACTGATTTTCTTAACAGTTACCACCTTGTTTCATGTTGCAGTATTATTTGCACTTAAATCAAGAGTTAAGTGGCTTAGCTGCCAGTGAAGCATCAAGTCCTGCTGCCTTTTGTACAGCCACCAGCAAGCTAACCTTCAGTTAACAACAAAGTTCTACAGAGAACCTGGCTCTGGTGGATCTACAATTAAACTGGACCTATTGCCAAAGGAACAGAACAGTCTTTGTGCCCCTCTGCATCTTTCTGTTGACAGCTCATTCCTGTCCCACCCTCCTTTCACTCATGAGCCACATGTTCAGAGAACATAACAGACTGAAATGTAAGTACTGCTTTAAGTGAGGCTGTTCTTAAGCCAGAGCAGCTCCAAAGCAGTTTTAACCACACAGCTGCACCAGTGCTTGTGCATTAGCATGCGAAGTGGGAGCAGAGTACTAGCAAGGCTGACAAATCTTACAGTAAAAGCACAGTACCAGAGAAATTCAAGGGCAGCACTTGAGAAAGACCAGTTATTAACTAACCTGTTATACGAGATTTACATTGTGCGTGACCCGTTTTAACAGTTCCGGCTATCCAAAATGAAATTTCCCCGCAGCGCTCTGCTATGCCTTCCACAAATAAAGCACCAATTTTATATTTTTTATGAAACTCCTCTCCAATAAGTGATTTACAACTCTGAGAAAAAGCATGATTTATACGCTCAGTTTCTAAAACAGTCTTCCATCAGACCACACGTTTATTTATCTCCGATCACTGAGGATTTTGCTAAGCACGTATGTATATACTCTAGGTTGCGGGTAATGTTTAGCTACCCATAGCTTGCTTCACATAAAACAACAGGCTATTTAGCCTGCTGAGAGAAGAAACAGAACAAAAGATCTTAATAAACTGTTAGTTAGGACCAGAGACAGTTAACTCTGAAGAAATACAAACACATGCCTTCCTATCTGTAACTGCAGCTAAGTGCCCAGTTAGGTGAAAGAGAGAGACCTGTAAAACACCTTACGTTTGTCATGAAGTCTGTCTGTTTTTATACAACCTGGTTTTCTTCACTGATTTAGTAACACAGTTTTAAGAACTGCTGTCTGTCTGAAGAATTCTCCCCATCTTGCATTTGTGATCTGAACAACCACAAATCCTCCTTAGACTCTGAAATTCAGTCCTTTACCTGGAAAACAGGGTAAACAGTACTTACAGCCACCCAAGACTTTGTAAGTAAACACACTGAGACTACAAGAAAGCCAAGACACAGCTATCCAAACACATTGCTCCAAGGCAATCTAGGACACCAATTTTCAAACTGGGGATGAATTTTCTGGACGAAAATACCTTACAGGAGCACAGTGGCAGGAAGATGATTAGTGGCATAAGGATGCATCGTGAAGAGGGGACTGGGGCAGGGAGTAACATGGAAAATGTTGAAGCTAGAGGAGCGAGTGAGCAAAACAGAGCCTGAGCCCCCTGCCAGATGTTACTGAGTCAAAACATCACATCTCAACCTGTAATCACCATGATTACCCTTAAAAAAATCCAATGGTTTACAAATCCTCAGAAAATCTCCTATAGAGTATTCTGAAATTAGCAGGCTTGGTGCATAAAGTCCCAGAAGAAATTCTCTAGCCTGTTGTACAAATGAGATTAAAGGAGACAATTATCCCATCTGACTTCAAAAGGCAGAAGTCTCTCCAACATATCACCATGTCCCCCTCAGTTTCATTATCTGCACAGAGCAACTAATAATCCACCAACACATTATCTCCAACACTGACATATTAAAATCATTTAAGACTAAGATTCTCAACCTTTTCCACCTGGTGACCTCGTTTACCAGAGAAGAATGACCTGGGATGGCTCTCCTTTTAGCTTTCAGGTAATCTTCTTAAATCCCAGCCTAGATCAACAGCACCTCTCCCCAAGGAGGCACAGCAATTGCAGAAGTTATGTTAGTTGTGCAGTGAACAGTTTTGGCGGGGCAGGGGGGAAGACACAGCAACACTTACTGTAAACAGCATGCACTGCAAAAATGAGCAGAGTAGGAGAGAAGTGAGACATATTCAGATCCTTACAAAGAAAAGATACAGAGATTCAGACAGAGCAGCGTTTAAAACTTGTAACAAAAATTGCAAGAGTAACAGCTTCGCTGGTGTGCTTTCTAGGCCATATAAAATGACTCCCTAGCTAGCCAAAGGACTGATACATGGACAAGCACTCATTTAAAGTGCAACAGAGAAACAAAAATGCAGAAATTCATCACTAAACAGAAAAACCCAGTGGGATGTCCACACACGTCAAGTGCTAAAGCAGCATACCAGATAACAATGCTGGTTATATCTAGATTCTTTTTCCATCTTGAGGTAACAGAAAGGTCATTTTAGGAGCAACCAAAGCTAACCAGAAGTGCACTCAAGGTTTTACATTCACAACATACTAACACTCAAAGCTGAGTAACAAGTTTTTGTTCTTCATCAGTCCTGAGCTTCTTTCATCACTCCTGATGCCCAGAGAAGGTGGCAAACCACAAGCTCGTTTTTGTTTATTCTGTTGCCAGATCCCAACAAAGGTGAATACCTTGAAGGCTGGGGGGCAGGGGAAATGTATGTTTGGATGGCATATCTCAAAGGAGGTTAAGTAACCTCCTTTATGTTTGTTTCAAAAGATTCTTCACGTATATTCAATACTGTGTACGACTAACCAATAACTGCCATAGACTTATACCTCCTCAGAGATGGGCCTCTGAATCCTTCACACAGCAATTTTGATCTGCTTTGCCACATGCTACATCCCTGGTGGTGCTTCTACAACAGCATGTTTTTTGGTATGGAGAAGGTATAGAAGATATGGAGAGCCTCCAGATGGCTGCTTGATAAACATTAAGCATTCCCAACAACTGGTACGACTTGAGCTCTGACAGCTGATAGTCCAGTGACAAATGGAAATGTCAAATCTGTGGTTTCCAAAACAGACATGATATAACTTGAAAACAGTTTTTCCATCTGTACAGAAATGGGTGAGACCTTGCGTCTTTCAGCACTAAGACAACCAAACTCTGAAAGGAGTTTACCAGCATAAAAAGTCCTTAGCAATGCTGAGGATGAAATAAGAATCTCAGCCTCCAGTATTCAGTTTGTGGATGAAAACAGTTAATTCCCTGGCAAACACTACTTTGGGACAGGAGTGAGAATGAAATCACACAAACACCCTCTATGGAAGGAATATTATACAGGTGATCAACCAGAGAATTTGGATCTCCTCCACACTGAAACAGTGTCCTTGACTGATGGAGACCGAGTCCCACATTATTTTTTTTCAAGAATGTTGACAGACAGAAGAGCTCAGAGGAAGAACTGGTATCTGTAGAAGGCCTGTGCAATAGTAACAGCTCCACAATTAGTAG